TTGATGTTGCTGCTACTGAGTTCTGCATAGGTGATGCATAATTTCCTGCAAATTAGTCAGCTAGAAATTATAGAATGTGAGAAAGGGGATGGAGCATTGGAGAAAACTTCTATAGTATTTTTAGCTGTTATTTGGGAAATGCATTTTTTCATCCTTCAACAGCTGTTGAACATAAACCATTAGATATTAAGAGAGGATCTTCTGCCCTGGTCTCCGTTGTATGTTACTTTTGCATTTATGTGCAACTTCGAATGCTGCAAAGTTCTTTCTTGCATGGATGTTGCTTGCTTATAACAACTGGGCTTTGTTTTTCATTCTTGTTGATAAAGGTACTAAGTATGATCTAGAGTTTAAATCTCCAAGTAGGTCTGGGCAAAATTTCAAGTCAGGAGAAGATATGATACAGATGTACAAAGAACTATGCAGTGGTATGTCAATTTTTCATTAATGGCTTTTATTCTCCTTTTTCTGGTTCATTCTGTCAACCATGGTTTTATGTTTCTGCCTTCCTTTTTCTTCTTTGGCATCATAGATTACCCCATAGTGTTGATTGAAGATCCATTTGATAAGGAAGACTGGGAACATAACAAGTGCTTTTGTGCTCTTGGACTTTGTCAGGTTTGTTTTGTTTTAACTTACTACTGACATTTTTGCTTATGCCATTTGAATGAATTCTTGGAGCCACTGTTAACACATGACTTATAAAGCATTAATGGAGTTGCTCAGACCACCTTTTGGAGGCTTATGTAGAATATCTACCTCCAAAAATACATCTTTGAACAACTATTTTATTGTTCAAACTGCGAGTGGTAAATTCTGTGGGTTAGTTAACTTTTAAGCTTGTCTGATAGAATCATTAAACAAATGAGCAGGTTTAATTTTGCTGCAACTGGGTGTTAATAGGACCTGATTGATACAAATTAAGTTCCTCTAGTGCTCTATAAGTATCTTCTTTAGTATAAGATATCATGTCTTTCCTTTATATACTTGACCAAAGCTTATTATGATTGGTTGCGTTGCAGGTGGTTGGGGATGACTTGTTGAATTCAAATTTAAAAAGAATTGAAAAAGCAATTCAGGAATCTGCTTGCAATTCTCTTATTCTGAAGGTAACTAAATTTTTTGATTCAACACTTATATTCTTCTATTTCATCGTTAGGATCTTTGGGTGGCTATGATATTATCTCTGTTTTAAAAAATCAGCAATATAATTAGGTGCTGGAGGAAGAAATGAATGTTTTTATGTGAAGATAATTATGTTTGAAAATTGAAAGTTCAGAATCTTCAGATTCACCATTTAAAAATCTGTCTAATAATTATATATTGTTCTAAAACAGATAAATCAGATTGGAACTGTGACGGAGGCTATTGAAGTGGTGAAACTGGCAAAGGATGCTCACTGGGGAGTGGTGGCATCACATCAATGGGGGGAAACTGAAGATTCCTTTATAGCCGATTTGGCTGTTGGCCTTGGTGCAAGTCAGATCAAGGCTGGTGCTCCTTGTAGAGGGGAGCGGCTGGCAAAATACAACCAGGTTTTCTGTTCAAATCACACTTTATTTGCCTTTTTCTTGATTTTGTTTGATGCAACTCCCTACCTACCACCACTGGAGCATTCCAAAGACCAGACTGATTTGGTAACATCTATGTATTAATTTATATAATAGCATTGACCTTGGTTTTGCCTTTCTGCTTTGTCTAGGCATGGTTTCTGTAACCCATTATTTTGTTATGCCCATAAAACCTTTGACATCAAACAATCTGTATGCCAGAGCAGTGCTTTCAAGTTCCAATGAGTTTACAATGCTGTTGCTCTGCTTCCTGTTTCTCAGTCATTTTCTTTTCTCTTTTAGAACCAAACCCTTCTCAGCTTTGTCATGAATCATGATTAAGGAGAAAACTGAAGAATTCCTGAAATTAGTGGCCCAATTTTTCTGTTTTTGCAGTTGCTTCGAATAGAAGAAGAGTTTGGGGACCAAGCAATTTATGCCGGTGAAGACTGGAGGCCTTCATCTTGATCATTAGCATCAAGTCTTATTCTCCATTGTATTCAACTTGGGACACTGGTTCATAGTTCTGTATTTTCTGCAGTGTTTTCTGTTCTGTGTTTTGGGTGATGCTACCTAGACTTGAACCTTTGCTAATTGGAAGTAAACAAGTATAACTTGTGCTTCCAACTACAATAGTCATAGTGAGTTTTGGTAAGAATTGAGCCTGTTGACCAAATTAAATTGTCAATTCAAAGATTTCACTGATTGTGCAAAAGCCCTTCAATATTTTGACTTATGGTGATATCAAATTCATGCTGTGGCCATCAATGGGCTTGGACTATCAACACAGTACAGGAACTTGGTAAAAATGGCTTTAGCTTTAGACATTTCGTGACAAGGAAAAAAAACAATGCTGTCTTTGATTTTAACCTGAGGCTGGCAAGGTTGTAATCAACTCAGTAGACAGGTTGCCTAATGCTGATGATTGCATTGGAGGCATGTAGTGTGTCAAAGAGAGGGCCACAATCTCTATATTCTCGCCTTTGGGTGATGGTAGGTTGAGTTCAATCAAAATGAAAGAAAAAGAAAGGTCTGAGTTATCATATAAAAAGAGCTTATTAGTGTATGATGGACCTAGCCTCCTCGGCCCAGTAAAGGTGATGTAAATGCGAGAAATCTTCAATCTTCTTTCAACTTCAGTCTGATGAACAAGCTAATCTGCAAAGCCTTGAGTGGACCTTAAGGTAGACACTCTAATGTTTAAATCAACAATATTTTACTTTAATTTAATGAAAATAGAAGGTGGTCTCAGGTCGGTTTTAAGTACTTGTAGCAAGGGACCTTCAAGGTATTTATAAACTTTGAGAAGGTGTCTACATGGTCTTTTTAATGAAATAATCAAAATACGATGTGATTGATAGGACAAACATCTCGAAAATAAAGATCAAATAGGTATGATCTCACTGTAGCTATAGTGTAACTGTAAAAGGAACTTCAACTTTAGTCATTGAATGGTTTGACCTCAGTCACATTTGACCTAGGCTAATGGCTAGTCTTGGTGATCTGTTTTAGTGTGTCCAAGATCAGTGATCTCGAACCTATACTTACAGGTGTAGGCAATGGTGATGATAGCTTGAATTTAGCCTCATAAGCAATGACACTACACCATGAAGATTTTTATAGGAGATTCTAATTTGAACAAACGCACTTGTATGGTGATGAAAACAAAAACAGAATACGTTGTCATTTATCTTTTATTTATCAACAACAGGTTTTCCAAAGAAAGAAATTATAGGAATGTGATCAGAAAGTATCAATGACAAGATTGTAAGTTCTGAATTGTTCAATGATTCACCAAAGAAACATGGAAAATACATACAATGAGGGTAATTTGATCAACAGCTGTAGAACACACAAGACTTGTTACTTGTTTAGGAAAAAACACACATACACAACATTTTAGACGGCTTCACCACCAGAAGTACCTCCTTCACCAGCTATAAGATCAGTCATAAAGAGATCCTGTAGCTGCAAAATAAAAGCAAACATTAGTAAGTGTGATTTGGAGAGAAGCAGCCTTCATTTCCCCTCAAATTAATACAAGAAACAATGGATTGAGTGCTTACATGATGGTGGTGCACCTGGCCTGATCCTGTTCCCACCAAATGTCACGTCTGTGTGCGAAGGTGGGCTTAAGACTTCGAAAACCTCGTCTTTCTCGATTTCGGAGTCCCACGGACCATCTAAATTTAAATCCTTAAGATACATCTTACTTTGCAGCCTCGCACGTCTGGCCTCATTAGTATCAATCTGACGGCCTTGAACTCTTAATCCCAGAAAACGAAGGTGGCACAAGTTTTCCAAATCCCCCAAGCTAAATTTTTTATCATCATTGTGATCACAGCAAACCACAATCCCCAGCAACTTTCTAAGTGAAGTTAACCTCCCTATTCCTTTGGGATAGTAAGTTAAAGCATAACTACCAGTTGTTATAAGATACCTCAAGTTGACCAATTTCCCTATCTTACCCGGCAATCTCTCCAGAAGAAAACATCTTTGTAGAAGCAAGGATTGCAAATTACATAATCGGCATATTGCTTTAGGCAATATTTTTAACCTACTACCAGACAAATCAAGCAGTTTCAGATGCATCAATTTGCCTAATTCTTCAGGAAATCCTTCAATATTAACCCAACGGATAATCAATGAACGCAGATGTTTTGGTTGAAAAAAGAAGTTACCAGTTTCACCTTCTTCTGCATAATCACTTTTGAAGATGGATAAGCTCCGCAATTTTTCTGCACCAACAAGTGAAGTAGGAAAGCATGCATTTTCTGCCAGTATTACCGACAGATGGTGAGTTTTCTCTGAAGAAAGCTCTATTCTTAAATTATCTTCAGGATGAACCTCTTTCAAAACAAATTCATCTCCCATAAGGAAACGAGCAAAGTCAAGAACTATGTCATGAATCTTAAATGTCCATATGCTACCATCTTCAAGTATTTGGAAATCTTGAAAGAAAGACCGTGCCACCAAGCACTCAAAGTACTCATCCCCAATAATCTCCATCTCAGCATTCTCACTAGAATTTAAATAACCCTGTGCCATCCATTGACGAATCAGGCTCTCTCTTCCAATCTTAACACCTTTACGGAAGGTAGAGCAGTACGAAAAGCACCGTCTTACTGCTGAGGGTAAATCTAAATAACTCAGCAACAAAGGAGCAAAAATACCTTCTAATTTTAATTTCCATATCTCACTGCTCAAGATAATTGCCCACTCTTCTCTTGTTTTCTTGAAACGTAGCATGCTTCCTATAGTTTTTGCAGCCAGTGGCAATCCACCGCATTTTTGTGCAATTCTTTTTCCAATGTCCTCTAAATTTTTACATTGCTCCTCACCCCTTCCAACAAAGGCTTCTTGGCCAAGTATTTTCCAACATACATCTTCACTCAATTGTTCTAGAGGAAAGACACGGAAGGATTTCATGGTTTTTGCGACTGTATCCTTTCTTGTAGTCACCAAAATCCTACTTCCAGGTGCAGCAGGTTTGAAAGCTTGATTCAATGATTCCCAAGATTCACTTCCATCATTCCACACATCATCCAGAACAAGAAAAAACTTCTTCCCCTCAATAAATTTGCAAATTTCTTCCAGAAGTTTTTGCAGTGGAGCCGAATCAGGATCTATATTTGAAGCATTATTGGGAATTTCAAGAGCCATAAAAATTGCTTTCGCAACACAGCTCAAATCAAAAACTTCCGTAACGCAGACCCATATTTTCTCATCAAAATGGGCCATAAATGCCCCATCATTATATACAAGTTGAGCAAGAGCTGTTTTTCCAATCCCACCCATTCCTACAATTGAGATGGTTTTGACACCACTCTCTCCTTCATCACTGTTACCACACAACAAACTGTCTATTAAGTTTTTCTTATCCTCATCTCGACCATGCAAGTTTGACACCTCAGTAAAAGATGTACTTTCTACTCTTCTAGGCTGTCTAACATCCCTTGGTGTCAAGTGATAATTATCTTTATTCTTAGCAATCCCATCTAATCTTTCATTGATGTCCTTTATTTTCAGAGCAATGCCACAGCGATGACCAACTTGACCACAACAAAGACATGAAAAGAAGGGACAACATACCTTTCCCTTGAAAAATGAGAAGTTTTTCTGATCTGATTCATCTAATTGCAACTTCAAGAGCGCAGTGTTCCACTCATCCAACACGTCCTCCATGTCATAACATACTTCTTTGAGGCTTTCTAACCAAATCTTGATGCTTCTCTCCTTCATCTGCCTTTCCTCAGCATCATCAAGCAAAGCATGGATGGACTCGAGATTGCCTTTGAGCCTCTTGATTTCTTTCCCCATACCAGTCAACAGTTTCACCTCTTGTTCTACCTCTTCATAAATGATTGTTGTTAGCTGCTGCAAGACAGCGGAAACAAGCGCATCTGACATTTTCAGAGATAATATTGATTGATGAGGAGACAAATTGAAAAGAAATGAGAAAAATCGGTGAAGAAACAGAGTGAAGGAGGTAGACAGTGAAGGAATAAATGGTTAAGATGAGTTGCTGTAGTTAAGAGAGAAAATTAACTTGCAATGAGATTTTAAGGAGATACGACAATTACGAAAACGCGTCGGGCACTGTTTCTAATTCACAACTTTTAACTATTGGATGGCCCGCCTGACGTTTGGGACTCCTTTAATTATTGAGCTCGCAATGGATTCCTGACTTGGAACTCCACTAATAATAATATTCATAATAAAGTTAAATCTTCAATTTAATCTCTAAACTATTATATGAACCTTTGATTAGATTCTTAATTGATTTAGTCCTTGAACTATTGTATATATCCTGATTTGATCCCTACTGATTTATCAATTTGTCTTAAGTTGGTTTTTCGGTATAAAAAAAAAAAAATTGACACGTCTCATTATTAGCATGACATGTAACCATTAAAAAACTATTTTTCACCGTTAAGTAATGGATATGTCAAATGTTTTTTTATATGGAATAACCAATTTTGGATTAAATTAGTAAACAATGAGGACCAATTTGGAGGTTTGTACAGTAGTCTAGAAACCAAATTAAAGATTTTTTTAATTTAAGGACTAAATTAAGAGTCTGTATAATAGTTCAGAAATCAAATTAAGGTTTAACTTAATAATAATTATAGGTAAACGTTAAAATTAGGTACAATAGAGAATGGGTCTTGAATTTTTACTCTTTTTTTTTTTTTATGAATGAGTTATTATGAATATTAATATTAAGAAGATTGTTAAAATTTTAAT